GAGAGGTTGTTCTTGGAGGAGCTGGTGTCCGAGTGCGCGGGGAGTGCACAGAGCACTGCCCCTCCGTGCTTTCTGTAATTGGTTTTATGCTGTAACGCTGGCTGTAGCTTCTAATTTTCCATCCTTGCTCGGAAATTATAGAGGAGTGAAAGGGAGATGGGTTTCAGCTGTCGACGCTTCAGGAGCATTCAGCAGCGTTGCTGGATGAAAGGAGCAGTGTGGTGTTTTAGCTCTGCAGAGGTCTCAGAAATACCCGGGCATGAAGCACTGTGTGGTTTCGGGCTCGGTGAGAAGGAAGGCAGAAACCGGTGCCAGCCCTCGGTCATCCCTGGCTGCTGGAGCTCTTTGAGGAAGTCGTACATCTGGTGCTTTCCCATTTAGTCCTTTCAAGAGGCTCATTTTGAGAGCAAGGTTTGTAAGGAAGAGCCAGAAATAACCAGCTCGTGATCCTATTTGCGGGACGAGAGGAACATAAGAAGGGACTTGTTAAAGATGGGACAATCAGTGAATAAAAGCCTATTTTTTAACAAGACTGACATTTTGCTCTGTCTATTGGAAGACTGTTGCGTGTTACAACGTGACTTTTTCCATATCATGGGGAGGAAAGGAAAATCTCTGGGCTTATAATACAGCAGCTAAAGAAAAAGCCTGAGACGCAGCAGAGCATGTGTCTCCTGGGGGTGGTCTTCTACCCGGTGGTCTGTGTCCACGCAGGACTTCTCTCCCCTTGGCCTCATTCAGTCCTGCCAACCAGACAGTGACAAAATCACCTCTCCTCCAGGGAGGACTCTGTAGTTTAATACTTTTTGTGCCTCTGTCTGTCTCTCTGGGAGTTTTTACAAACAGAAGGGGTTTTCATTTGTCAGCCCTGCTCCTCTGGAGTTCTGCATGAAGTTTAATATCACCTTCTATGCCCCATCAATTCGGTCGTCGTTTCCCCAATTGCTCTAAGATGTATTGTCCCATTTTTACAGCTAGGACACTACCAGCGACCACGGCCAGATGTCACAGCTCAAATCCCTTTCTGTTTGTCTTAACCATGGTGACCATCAGCTTTTGAATCCCCACGTATCTACTTCGCTTGGCCACCCGTCCCCTCTCGGCGTAGATGAGAGGAGCGCAGGGTGCTGGCCACAGCAGAAGGGTGCTGTGCCTCGGGACGACAGTAACACAAACATGGGGAAAGTATCCGATGCATGAAAGCCAAGCACCCTGTCACTGCTGTGATAAGGAGTGGTAGCTAGCGTGCGAGTTAATATTGAACAGAGATTGTTGCTGGGGTGGGGTGGCAGGAGCAAACACACCAGGAGCCACCGCAGTGTGGTGGCCAGTGGACAAGCGTGGGAGGCATGTGGGGCCATGGGGTCGCCCTGAGTCACTTCTCCTCTCCCCAGGGTGTAAGAATATATATTCTTTTTATAGCACTGTGCATATTGCCAGGGCTCCTGCAAGCCTCTTTAGGGTCCTTGGGTTTTCTTACTAATGAAGAAAGCAATGGCACTGTGTTGGTGTCACTAAGAAGGGTGATGTCAGAGGGGCCAAGGCCACATCTGCTTATGACCTGGAGGAGGAGGTTGCTTTTGGACCGCTCTGGATCGTCCACAGGTACAGATCATTAGCCCTGGAAACACCACTAGGGCTGTAAACCATCTCTGTCTTCTAATATATAACCGTGCCCGTAGCCCGGTGCATCAAAGAAATCGCTGGCCATTGATGTGACTCTTACTGAATGGGTTTAACAGCTTTCTCGGAGACGTTTCCTATTAAGTTATTATCTGAAATGGGAGAGGAGGAAAATAAAATGACAATGTTGTGAAACACTTGAAATTAGAAGCAGCATTGATGTCAACTCACAGTCTGCTGCTGCTGCTGCTGTTATTTTTCACTCGTTTTAGCACATCCGCTGCACAAGTGCGGTGGGGAGCCCTCATCGCTCCCCCTTTCAGTACCACAAGACATTTCTCTTGGGTCACCAGCCTTGGACAGGTGAGAGCTGTGTAGCCCAAACTTGGGCAACTTTCTTCCTTTCCCTTAGACAAGGTGCTGGGATGCTGCAGCAGCCTCGCCTGCAGCTCTGTTGTGTGGTTTGCTTGCCCACAACGCTAAAACCCTTCAAATGTTGCCAGGAAACCTGATCTGGAGAGCCTTCCCCTCTGCTTTATCCCTCCTGGATGCCATTTCAGTGATATTCACATTAAAAAAATAGCCTCAGTAAGTACACACTCTACCATCGCATTTGGTCCAAAGGACTGCCTAAGTATAAAAGCATCACTTTAATACATTCAATTCGTATAAAATTGCCTGACAATGACTGTTCAGGATCACCCCACCTGCAGCTCTGAGCCGTGGTAGCAATTTTGGTTGGGAGGGTGGACTTTTTATCGACGATGATTTTCTCAAACCTGTGGAGCTAGGGAGACAGTGGCGCTCTGAGACATGCAGAAAACAAAACAAAACTCAGGTAAATAAGGAGTTTGCAGAAGTTCACCAGCCACACAGGTCCCCGGCGGGGATGCTGCCGAGCCCAGCTGCGGGAGCCGCAGTAACGTCCCCGCCACCATCCGTATGGGTTTCTTCTCCTGAGCATTCATCGCCGTAGGGTCACAGGGATGTTAGCAGAGCGTCACTGCCGGGAGGAGAAGTGCTCCCGATGTGAAATGCGTCAGGGGGGACGGTGTCACTGTCCCCTCGCCCCACCTGCGTGACAGAGCACCGCAGGTTTGATGGGGCTCTGCATCCCTTCTTCTCCTTAGAGTGACACCTCTGGCTCAGTCGATTGCTCCTACTCAAACCTATTTTGGACAAATGAGCCATTTCATTGCAGCGTGAAGTTGCTGCACAGATTATTTACTTTTTTGAGGGTAGCTAACATCCTTGTTCTCCTCTAAAGTCTGGCTCTGCCTCGGTTTCTGTCTGAGAGAGGAGAAAATACTGAACCATAAACCTGCTTCCCGCTGTGAAATCACAACAGCTGTTAGCAGAGGTTATTGGAAAATCAAAGGGTTTGTGCGAGGGAAGAAATGCAGCTAATCCCAGCCAGGGAGTTGCTGCCCCAGCACCTGGTTTCTCCTCCTGTCTTTCATCGCAGTTCTTGATGTCTTTCCAGTATGGGACCCCGTGAGGGGGAGAACCGGCCTTTGGATGCAACGATAAAGAATAACTCCCAGGGTATGGTTGCTTCAAGGTGTCTTATAAGGAGGAGACCACATAAAATGGAGAATAAAGTTCCTGCTGCAGCACACTGCCGGGGTTCAGCTCTTCACAGCAGCCTGGGGAAGCAAAAATCAGGCGCACGCTTCCATAAACCGGTTAATTGATGCTGTCAGCCACTGATTATGTGAATCATCGAGCACATCGCAGCCATGTGGAACTGGGGATGTCTGAGACGTTGTCCTTTCAAAAACGGCAGCGCTGCCACTCGGCTCTTCCATGTGGGCGTGGAGGTGACCCCTGCACCCCCCCAGCAGCTCAGCACCTGTTCCATGTGTTTTATGAGGCAAAATAAATGTTTGGGCAGAGGCAAAAAACACCACTGGCCCGCGGGCATGGCCACACGCGATCTGCCACACGCACTAACTGGCGGATAATTGCAGAAGCCCTTGGGTTTCTTCAAGGCTGAGCATGCCAAAGAGCGATGCCTGGGGCAGGGGAGCGTGATGGGGGCTCATCTCCCCTCGGCCACGTGGGTCTCCTCGTGGGCTCAGGGGACACGGGGAAGGGGGCTGCGCTGGACTGTACAGAGAAGGAGATGCGTAGCCCTTCCCGGTGTGACAGGGACGAAGGAGACCATGTCCTGACCCATCCCCACAGCCGCCCACCAGCACGGAGAGTTTGCGTAGGCTGTAGGTAAACTGGGAGGTTGCACTGCACCGTCTGCCCGTATGCGTAATGCATTTCCCCTGTTCCTCCGGTAGAAAGCAGCCGGTCCCCCGCGTGTGTGTGTCTGGGGAGGACACTGAGCTGTCTAAAGCCAAACAACAAAAGTCACCTTGTGCGATCCCACGCCTGAGAGCAAACGAAAAGTCAGGGGTGAAAGGGAAACGGGAACCCATCCCTAAACGCCGCGGCTGGGGAGTGCTGGCGCTGGCCGACCTCCTTGCGAGCGCGATGCTCGCCGTGCCAGCGGATTGCTCAGTCCTCAGCGCCTCCTGCCCCCATGCCCATGTTCTGGTGGCTTCCTGAGGCTTGAGTCGCAGGCAGGCAAGTCAGCAAAGCCGCCGATCTGTGCAGCGGGACGTCAGGCAGAACTCCCGTAGGCTCAGGTGCGAGCACAGGTTGTGCCCCCACAGGACCATATCCTTCTCCCCACCGAGTCTGAGGTCCAGAGGGCTCTGCCAGAGGACAACAGACCCCTTTCAGCCCTGGGCAAGTGTTTCCCGGCAGGTCTGTCCCCTCCGGTCCCCTTCCCTCCTGGACCCTGTATAGGAAGTGTGGGAGGACAAGATAAATGGGGATGGGAGGGGGAGGCACAAGGGAAGGTCTATCTGCACAGCCAGGAACCCCCCCGGGGGCTGGGTGGGAGGACAGTAGCAGTTCCTTGGCCCTCCTGATTATAGCCCTCAATAAAAGCGATGAGGCTGGCAAAAGCGAGACTGGAGAGGGTAAGGGGGAGCGAGTCTGGTTCAGCATCGCTGCTGCTGCTGCAGGAACAGCCGGGGGCTCCCCCTCAGCCCCACGTGAACCTCACAGCTTTCGGGTGAGAGGTGGAAGGGGTTAAGGAAGTTGATGCCCTTAACTATCTTTTTCTCCTGTAAAAACTGTTCTTTCAGCAATTTCCAATCTCAAGACCTGTGGGACTGCACATCTTGCTGACATCCCAATCCAGGGAGAAACCTGCCCAAGGGTTAAAGTTTGAGCAACCGAGCAAACAAGACAACTCCTCCTTCGTGTCATGTGAGTGTGGCTGCAGCTAAAGGCCAGGGAAAAAAAAAAAAAAATTCATAAGCCAAGGCTGCGGCTTCACAGGAGCTTCGTGCTCTCAGGGCAGGCTGGGAGACACGATGGATCTCCTGCCAAACTTTTCTGTTGTCACTTGGCTGCTCCTCATCGTTTTTCTTAGCCTCCTGGTCCTGTAAGTAGAGGCTGGTCCCCAGGGGTGACCGGGGAGGAGGAGAACCCTGTGCCTGCAGCTGGGGAGGGGCTGGGGCCATCACCCTCAGTGTGAAGTGCCCAAGAACAGGAATTAGTGTTAAAAAACTCATCCTCGGTCTTCCTGTGCTACCTTCAAGGCAGAGCCAAGGGCTGATAAAGAGGGGCTGGCAAGGCTCCCCAGTGCCCTCCCTGTGCCAGCTGGAAGGGAAGGAGGAAGCTGGGCTGGACGGGGAGGGAAATAAAAAAGGAACTTCTCGATTTTTTTGCTTATCTCAGCAGATCCAAAGGAGAAGTAGCTTCCATGTTTTTAACCGCAGCAAGCTCTGGTTGGCTGCAAAGGAGATGGGGTGTCCTCGTGCTCTGCGAGCTGGGAGCAGGGCAGTGGGTGATGTCTATGTCTGCTTATGTGCTTGTGCCAGCAGAAGCCCCCATTTAAATAGTTACGTTGGCAAAATTGCCCTTTTGCTTATGTCGCTCAGGGGAGCTGTAGTGAGCTATACAAGCAAAAACTTAATTTTGCTATTGTAATTTATGTCCCTGCTCGGCTGCTGTGCTGCTGTGGCTCTACCACCTGAGCATCAGAGTAGGTCTTTGCAAAGACAAGCACAAGGGCAGGTCTCCGCTTGAGAACTTAATCTCTCTGAGATCTCCCTTCAGTCAGCTGAGTGACAGTTGTCTGATCTGGGGAACTAAATGAGGCCCCCGAATAAAGACCTGAGGTGCCCAGGTACACCGTGTTTGCCTAGGCTGGGCTGCAGCTCCCTTCAGCCCTCGTCTTGTATCAAAAGGTACCCAGAATTATCTTGTACCCCGAGTGATCCTGCATTTATTGCAGGAAGAGAGTATCCTCAGCGGGTCTGCTGCTGCTGGTCCATAATTTCAGCTTTCTCTGGGTGACAGGAACCAGTTATTTAAGCTATTCGCTGCGCTCAGGATGAAGAGCCTGCTCTTTTCATTGCATAAATACATCTCACATGCTCTTCGCTTGGCAGCTATGGGATATGGCCCTTCCAGGCCTTCAAGAAGCTGGGCATTCCTGGGCCACGGCCTCTGCCGTTTTTGGGAACTTTCCTGGAGTACCGGCATGTGAGTACCGCCAGCTGCTGCTCTGTAGCTGCCTTAGGTATTTAATTGTAGCTGGTGCTGGTTTTCCCATCCTTTGGGTATCTCTTTCCTCTGCCCTTGATTCAGTTGGATGGAAATTATGCTTTCAGGTAGGAAGCTCTTTGGACACACAGAGAACACAAAAATTCGGGTTGACCTGGAAGAGGTGTGCTGTGTTTTTCAAGTACTTTGTAATTTAAGTTATTAGTTTCTCCCTAGGTTTCTACCTGCTCCCCAGCAGCTGATGTTCTATTGGAAACAAAGGAAAAAAAATATTGGAGAGATGGCTAAGACTGCTAATTTCTGAGAACTGCATGGTTCTTTGTGCTTTGTGTCATCCCCACAAAGAGACTGAATTAGCCCCAGCAATGCCCCATCCAGCCACTTGCTGTTGGGCCAGCCAGAGACTAAGCCAGACAAATAGATTACTAAATAAAACTCAAATATTATCGAGTTATCTAATCTTACCAAATAACTAGGTAGTAGCTGGTCCCAGGCAACTGACTGCAAATGCAGAATAAAATGTATTAGCTTCAGTGAAAGAGGTGTTTTAGCTTGAGCATGCACATGGTCTCTTACTAATGGTTTAGTTGATGCATGGTGAGTGTTATGCGTCCCATAAGTTTCATCCTTACATGTAACATCAGTTAAAACCTTAAAGGAAACAAAGCAAAACAAAAAGCCATCATCACTCCGGTTCAGTGACTGCAGTGGAAGATCTCATGAGGACAAGGCAGTAGCAGCTCTAACTCATTGAGGACACCCTGGCATCTAGTCCTGCCTGCTTACTCTGCTCACGCTAAAACTGTGTACCCTGTTGTAGCTTGTCTTCATTACATTTTTAGCTCAGGTTGGCTAGTGGAAGTTGAAAGGGCTTTTTTCCCCCTCCTCTCTGCTCTTTTTTTTCCCTCCAGTGCAAATGTGCCCTAAGAGTCCATGTGACTCTTAAGAACTACCATGCACCCCCCCAACCTCTACCACTTACAATGGGTCTATGGGATGCACCGCGCTGCCAGCTATGACCTGCTTTGATCACTCTTCCCTGGCAAACTGTTCGTTTCCCCTTTCTTCTTTTGCAGGGAGTCCTGAATTTTGATCAGATGTGCTTTGAAAAGTATGGCAAGATCTGGGGGTGAGTTTCTTTCTGCAGAACAAAACTGCCTGTTTGGGGTGCTCCACGGCCCCAAAATAGAATGGAAAGAGGTATGTTGCCACCGTGTCTCAGCACCGTAATTCCAGCTTAAAAAAAATCCAGGTTCACCACTGGGAAATTCTCCAGCCATCTGTCCAAGGCTTCTCTCCTGCTGGGATTTCAATACCATGCAGGGCTGGGATGCTGGTGGCCAGTTTGGGGGGTCGTTTGTTTGCATAAGCTTTGAAAATAACCTCCACTGCTTGGTGTCAAACTGAGCCTCATGCCTTTGAAGTGGCTCTTCTGTCTGTCTTGAGCAGAAAGCAAGCTGCAGGCTGCCGCAGTGTTTTTCATCTTGCTCCCTGCTTCTCCCAGAGCCAGGGCACGAGCTACCTTTCAACCTGCCTCCCTCCTCCCTGCTCCCTGCACAGCGCCGGTTTTGTGCAGGGGCCTCTTATCATGCTTCTATTGAGAACCTCTCAAACTGAAGCAAAATTGTTGCACAAAAAAAGTCCTCGGAGGCTTCATGAAACCTAGCACATTTTTTCGAAAGATTAAATGTTCTCAAGCCTCTTGAAGACGGCAGCTTCCCTCGGCTGTGGCCCAAGGCTCCCTGCCCTTTAGCCCACGCCATGGCTTTTAAGTTTTTCTGTCTCTGTTGATTGGAAAATGGAGGAGACAGATGAGTTTTTCCCCTCTCATTGCCTCGTAGGCCAGGCAGGGAAATCTCTTTACCCCACAGGCAGGCTATTCGGTATGGATTTATTGACACCAGCTACCAGTTGCAGAAACAGAGCTCAGACAGCCCAAGTGCAGGGGATCAATGTTGTGGCAAAAGCTGCCTTTTATCTAAACTCTCACTGCTTTGGCAACTCTCTAATACCACAGACGATTGCTAGAAATGCTCATGCTGTCTGCGTTTGGCACTTTATTTCTCTTTCTCCTGTTTTACTACATAATAAAACAGTTTCAGCCTCCTCCCTTTGGCTGTTTTGTCGGAGGGGACTCAGCTGGCCCAAACCCTTTGGGCTCCAACAGTCGATGTGCACGGCTCTGGCCACAGACAAAGCAGGCTGCTTTTGCTCCAACTGACGGTGAGCAATGGACTGACCGTGGATTTCTCTTGGCTTAGGATTTTTGATGGCAGGCAGCCTGTGCTGGCCGTTTTGGACCCCGTCCTCATCAAAAATATCCTGGTGAAAGAGTGCTATGCCATTTTTACTAATCGCCGGGTAGGTATCTAGTGCTGTGCTTTGCTCTCCAGTGCAGAGCGCGTGCAGCAAGGAAGAAGGAGTTTCTTCTTGGTTTCTGTCTTCCTTCTCTGAGCCCTTCAGCAAATAGTTGCTCTGTGTTGTTCCCCAGTTTAATGATGGTACCAACAACAAAACTTTGCTGGGGAGGTGTAGAGGTCACTCGGGCTGGGACCTTGGGACATCAGCCTGGATGTACCCTAGGGCTGATGTCATTTATGCCTCTCACACTTTTCTTTCCATTTCTGTTGTTTGCTGGTTGAGGTAGAGCTGATATGACTTTAGGAACCAAGTCAACACTCTGTGGTGGGGGTTTTTTTTTGTATTTCTGTCATGTGGAAGGGGGCTGGAAACCTTCACCCATCTCCCTGTATAACCGTGTGCCTTTTGCTGTAACATTCTCCCTGTGCAGAACTTCGGTCTGAACGGGATCCTGGAGTCGGCCCTCATTGTGGCTGAAGATGAGAAGTGGAAAAGGATTCGTACTATACTGTCTCCAACCTTCACCAGTGGGAAGCTGAAGGAGGTAAAGCAGAGGCCACTGGTACTTTGCATCAATACCTGGAGGAGGACTGGGACATTTCTGAGTGCAGACCTTTCTCAAATGGGGAAGTCGCCCCATTTGTCAGCACCACATCCCTGAGCACCTGCGTCGTTGGGTGCAGTTCAGCAACACGATGGCTGTCTACCGTCACGGGGAGAGAGTCAGGAGAAGGGTATGGGGGATGAAATGGCACACAAGGTATTGCAAGCTGAGGCTGTTGGCCCTATGACCTGTATTTTCTCCTTGCTAAGCACATCACTCAGACCATGGATGCCCATTTTCCATGCCCTCAGGAGCCATGTTCACTCCCAGCTGGAGTGGATGCTTAGCTGGAATGGGAGCAGCGTGTGGATTTTGGGAGGAGAACCTTGCTCACTCATAGTCATATGAGCTGTGTGGACTGGTTATTAAGATGTGAGAAAGCAGAGTCTGAGGCTTGGAAATGGTACCTTCCCCTCGCCTGCCCTTCCTCCACAAGCCAAAGACTTGGCAAGTGGCAGACGGCAGTGCAGAACTGCCCAACCTTGTTTGGTGGAGGTGAAAGAGTCGACAGTGCCTTTTGCTTTGATTTGCATTTCAGATGTTCCCCATCATTAATCACTATGGCGAAAAATTAGTGAAAAACATTGAGAAGAAAGTGGCTAATGATGAGTTCGTGACCATGAAGGAGTAAGTAGCTGGAGGGGGGCTGACAAGAAAAAGTTTGTATTCGGTGTGGGTAAGGGGCCATTCTGCAGAGCCTTTTCCATGCTGCAGCATAGATCCCTTGTCGACTGCAGAGGCAAACTCCATAGTGGTCATGGGCATGGCATGTTCCTCAGCGGTGGGCTTGCTGTGCTCTGCTCTGCTCTGCTCAGAGTAACTATGCTCTGTTCCCTGTTTCTTTTTACTGGGGATGAATTTTGAGGAAGGTGTAGGGCCCATTCCAGAAGCCCCACAAGATGTGGTATTTTGGGAAGTCATTTTTACAATCTCTTTTACAGATGGAAATCAGAATACAGTCTTTGTTACCCCAAACTGCAGTTCGGTGCTTTCCAACTACAGCCTAGGTTTTTGACGCTGAGAAAAATTGGGGTGGTGAATGCAATGGGGGAAATTTGGGAAAATATAATGACGGTTACTACCAGATCAGGACTGGATCTGGTATGTTAGGACTCTGCACTGAGTCCTTGATTAAAAGAGATTCCCTCTCTCAAGGATTGTTCCTAGATGGGCTTTTATTCACTACTGTGGTTGGGTTCATCTCATTCACTCTCTCTTCTTCTCTACCTAGCATTTTTGGAGCCTACAGCATGGATGTGGTGGCCAGCACTTCTTTCAGTGTGAATATTGACTCCATGAGCAACCCCAGTGACCCCTTCATCACCAACATTAAGAAATTTCTCAAATTCAGTTTCCTAAACCCTGTGTTTGTACTCTTAGGTATGACACACTTCATCTCATACAGCCCTGAATCCATCTCAGAGGTGGTGACCACCTGCATTTCCCAGTAGCTCCCTTAGTAGCTTTGAGTCCTCTTTGCCATATGGGAGATGCTCAGCACCTTGCAGGATTAGGTTCACCGTAGCAGATCTGTAGAAACAGTTCCCCAGGGAAACCACAGTCAAGATTTTTATAGCCCATGTGCATCTTTGCAGCACGCTCCTACAAGCAGAGACCCTGTTGGCAGAGACGCGATGGAGAGCTTCTCTGTCACAGGGAGCTGCACTCCGTGTGGCATTGGGGCCATAGAGGGATACACCGAGGAGATTCTCAAGTGCTATTGCATGCCAGCCATGGTTAGGTAGAAAGAGAGCTGAAGACAACAAAAAGAAATTTTTGGGGCCAGAGTTCAGATTTACCCCTCTCCTTTCTATGCTTTGTGCCGCTTTTTAGTTTCTTGGGCCCCTTTGAGCTAAAATATGTTGTTGTTTTATCTCCTTTTAGTGTTGTTCCCCTTCATTATCCCAGTGCTGGAAAAGATGAATGTGACTCTGTTACCCTCAAAGGTCATGGACTTCTTCAAGGGCGTCTTCACAAAAATGAAGAAGGAACGAGAAAAGGGCAACAGCACGGTGGGTCCAGCCCAGGTGGCCTTCTCTCTTCACTGTGCTGTCCTTCTGAGTGCAGGAGGGACCTGGTGGCATCTTGAGAAGCTGTGGTGTATCGCCTACTCTCCATAACAGCTCCCAGCTCACCAGACCTGGAGAGGGCCAGAAACATGCCCTGCCTGGGCTTCCATATGGAGAAAGTATCTGTGTTCACAGAGGGTCTCCAGTGGGAACTTCAAAGTGCCCTGAAGCTGTGAGCCTGCTGCTGGGGCTGTGAATGGAGCAGGGGTCTCAGCAAGGAGCTTGTGCTGGGCAAGGTTTTCCTCCTCCCCACCCACATCTTCTCTGACTGCCTCTGTTTCTCCCCAGGACCGGGTTGATTTCTTGCAACTCATGGTTGACTCGCAGAGCTCACATGACAAGTCTGCTGAGACCGACTCGTACAAATGTATGTCTTGAGATCTGTCCTCCTCTTAGCAGAAAGCATGATAGTTCCTCGTGCGGTTAAAGGAATGAAGTAGGAGAGGATTTTAGTCATTAATCCTACGGGAGATTCAAGGTCTCAGCAGTGGGGCTGTAATGATGCTTATCACGCATCAGCCATATTTTATTATAACCCATTTCCTGGGATAAATCCAGAGGTCTGTTTGTGCAACAAAGAGCAAACAGAGTGAATATCTCCTTACTCCCTTTTCTTGTTTTATCTTCTCTGAAAGCCAGAGATGGTGGCTGTATTTCATAAAGCACACAAAGCACATACATACGCTTCATGTACCTTGCTCATCTGTAAGCTCATCTCTGATCTGCATCCTAGTTAAACTCTCAGATTTAAAAAATAATGGCTTAGCCAAAGCATAGCCCCAATCCATCAACCTCAATCAAGGCAGGATGCTTGTAAACTTTTGAGGTGCCAGGACAGGGTATTTGTACAGCACCCTGCACTGCAGGCTGCACCCTGGCAATGCTTGGACACTACTGCAGTACCAGCGTTAAATCCTGAACTGGCCTTATCACCACTGCCACGTTATGCTCAGGGCTACTAATCCCTCAGCAGCACAAGGCTCATCTCATGACTTAGAGGAGCTGCTGGACATCTCTTAATCTCTGACTTTTCCTGGCACGTGCCCTTATTTTTTTGGCCCAGGAGCATGGTCCCAGAAGACAGCAGAGACTTTCTGAATCAGGCTCAGGCTGCACATACCTTGATTCTGCTCTTAAAGAAAGCAATGTAACACTGCTGAACTTGACAGCGGTTTTCTGCCTGTACAGCACTGCCAGATCCACCCCTTCGTGGTACCGGAGGGTTAGCTGCATGTTTCCTTTACCAACTGTTAAGTAGTTATGAATACCATTACCTAGACTGACGAGTGGGATCCTGAATTCCCAAGCGTTAATCACTGTAGTTTTCAGCTTCTTGCATGTGCTTTTATGCCTCTTTTCAGCATTAAGTGATGAGGAGATTCTGGCCCAAGCTCTTGTGTTTGTCTTTGCTGGTTATGAGACCACCAGCTCCACCCTCAGCTACATATCATATAACTTGGCCACCCACCCTGATGTGCAGCAGCGACTCCAGGATGAGATCGATGCAAACCTGCCCAAAAAGGTAAAGGAGGGTGGGGAGATGCTGGGGTTGTTCCCATCTGTGCCTTGTAGACCCTCAGCCAAAAGCCAGGTTGGAAAAAAAAAGCAGAGGGCAGGAGGTGCTGGCACTGAGATTTCCCCTCCTCTGGTCTCCGATGCCCGAAGGGGAAGCATTGCGGGGGTTTTGGTTGAAATCCCGTGTTCACAGCCGTCCTGATTCCTCTCCCCAGGCTACTCCCACATACAACACCATCATGCAGATGGAATACCTCGATATGGTGGTGAACGAATCCCTCCGGCTCTTCCCTCCCGGGGGCCGGATCGAGAGGGTCTGCAAGAAGACGGTGGAGCTCAACGGTGTGACTATTCCAAAGGGCATGGTGGTCATGGTCCCAGCCTACGTGCTGCATCGTGACCCGGGGTACTGGCCAGAGCCGGAGGAGTTCAGGCCTGAGAGGTGAGGGCCGGGAGGGGGGAATAGCTGCACGCTCAACCTCAGCCCTGGGAGTGGAAATGGCAGTGAAAGTGGGGAATGCATGATTATAACATTTAAATCAGGCATTTATCATTGTCTGACATCTAGTCTCAGCATTACCGTGAGGGGAGTTTTATGATCTACATCCATAAACTGTGCATGGAATTTAATTAACTGCATTGAAGGGAGCGACAGTGAGAGCAGCTCCCAGCAGCTGTAACACTGAGGGGTTTATGGCCAGATATTAAAACAAGAGCCATTGGGTGACTGGCACAATGCCGTGCAAATCAGCAGTGGAAGGGCAAAGACGGGTAGGAAAAAAACTTCATTTTTCAACTCAAGTGATGAAACAATCCTCGCTTAGGAGTCACTGTCAGACCCTGCGAAATGAGGCGATCGCCCAAGGCAGACCTGGGAGACCTTGGGCTTGATAGTCTTCAGGTTGCCACGAAGACATTGAGGGCTGGTCCAGAGAGAGAAAGACCAGATCTGTGCCCTTGCACCAGGAGTTGGTATACCCCTGGAAGCTAACCCCGGTGTGGGGATACGGTGACCTTTGGGACAAAATGTGGCAGCAGAACCAGGCAGAAGTTAGGGAGAGGGATGGGTCCTGCTGAAATCACCTATGGATCCCTACGGTCACCTTGTGTTGAATGCAGAAAGAACCACCCAAATGGGAGTACTCTGGCAATGAGCAGGTTACACCAGTTGCTCCAGCAGCTGCATCCTTACTCCAGTTGACAAACCGGGCACGGGTAGCTGGGCAGGAGCTCTTTAGGGATCACTTGCCTTGCTGGGAGTTCATCAGAGGGATGTGCTGGTGTCTCAGTAGCAAGACACTTCACTGCTGACTTAGCATGGCTGAGGTTTGTACCTGGACCTCACGCATCGGGAATGAAAAGCTTTCTGACGTGAAAACTAACTGATCACTAAGAAGTATTACTGAAGCTGATTGTTCTTCCCTGTTTTTCATGATGAGGAGAGGAATGGCTGGCGTGTCTCAAAAGCAACCCTCCTTTTAGTCACGCAGGGGGAGAACGTCTTTGTGTTCGCTCAGTCCTTTGATCTGAAGGGAAGACGTGAAGCTGTAACCTGTGTGGTTTAGGGTTTGAAATCTGGGTTCAGATTTTGAGCTGAGAGGAAGTTCTGAGAAAAGAGTAGTTATGAAATCCATTAGCATATTTCAGGTATTCCCTGTTCACCTGTTGCCCCTGGAGATGCACAACCAACTCCAAACAGCAGGATAAAAGCAGAGGCATAAGGTATCTATTGAGACAGAAAGAAGGGACTCAGCTGGGTTCTTCTAATGCGCACAGAAACACAAAAAGCTTTTGCCTTCCCAGACCCCTCATCACTTCAGATCTGAAAGCTGACACATCCTGGAACAGTAGCTCTTTCTAACTTTTTTTTTTTTGTTGTAATCAGGTTCAGTAAAGAGAGCAGAGAGTCTATTGACCCCTACACCTTCCTGCCATTTGGGGCTGGCCCCAGGAACTGCATAGGAATGAGGTTTGCTCTCCTCATCGTGAAAGTGGCTATGGTTGTCCTGTTGCAAAAATTCTCATTCAGAACCTGCGAAGACACTCTGGTGAGGATATGGGATCATGTGTTTCATTATCTGCCCTTTAGTCCCACTGAGATGGTTCTGCGTGCTCTCTTTTGCCTATATCTCAGGACAAATGGGGAACTGTCTCTCATGCACATTAAATCCCTCTCTTCCCCAGGGAGTTCAGAGACCACTAGCTTCAGGACCGCTGAACCTTGTCTGCAGACTGGGGTTTTACTACGTCACACAGAGATCAGGGAGGAAGATTTCACTGTGGCTTAGAGAGGCGTATGGGAATAACTGTATTTAAATCTTCTCAGCTAATTTAAAAGGTTCACCACAAGTTACTGATACATTTTTTCAAGCCTCTACAGAGGGAAATTTAATGTTGGTGGAAAATGTCAGGCTGAAATCCCTGAAGTCCTCCGCCTCTCTTTGGGTGCACCTAAGTTGTGGGGTGCTCGCTCCCCCATGGTGTGCTGCCGGTCTGCCTTGACCTGCCTTAGGACGACCCTGCTCTAGAGAGCAGAAAGGGAATATCTCCCCCAGCCCGCTCCAAAGCTGCCTTTGCAACACAAACATGGCTATTCTCTGTGAGAGATCCCAAGACGCTAAAATTCATCTCTTATGGGCCACCAGGCAGTCGCTAAAGGGTAACAATTTTCAAGCAAGAACAATCCGAGCTAAATTTGAATTGGCAACCCTCTCCCTCTTTGAGGCTATGCAGGATCCCACCACGTTTTGGTTTTGCCCGGGATCCCTGTGAACACCGCATTCAGTGCTGATGGGTCAGGCCCTGCAAGATGGGGCTGTTTGACATAAAGTAAATGCAATGGCTGTTGGAAATTGTAGGATGTCAAGCAAGCCCTCCTGAAAACATGACAACATGACTCAGAGGCAGGCAGCACTGTTTGATGTTAGCTTCCAACCCTGACCCGGCTTTCTGCATTGACTGCTGCAAAAGGCATTGCCATTAATACATTTTTGTTCACAAGGCGAGCTTGGGAAATCGGAGCGGGGGCGGGCAGCAAGTGTATTCAAAGGACATTTGTTGTAAGAAACCGAAAAATCCTTATTAAATTATTACTTGGCACGGGTGCTCAGCTGGAATCTCTGCAGATTCAGATTGCAACTCAACTAGTAACCTGGAGGTGAAAGACTGTAATAGTCCATTAACAATGCAGTGACCTATCCACCCTCCCCCAAGTCTAATGACATTTTTCTAGTCCTCTGCAATCCATAAAATTGATTCTTTTTACAACTGCCTTTAATTAAAAGGAGACAAGTTAAATATGTATTGTATTATTGGTGCCCATAGGTTTATGGGGCTCTTTCAGCCCTTTTTTCTACAGAAGATGTCACGTACATCAGATCAGAGCGGGAGGGAAAAATTCATGCCGGAACATCCCTTTGGAATACGTATATGGAAGCTGCAGCCTCCTCTCACTCATCCACTGATGGCACACTGGGCCCCGAGCCACATTGCTTAAATTTCCTGAAACAAAGCTTATTGGGATATGGGGATTTGAATGTAGCTTGTCGGGCTGGGGTGTATTACCCTTGTCCTGATGGGGAGAAGGAGAGCTGGGATATGAGCAGCATCGAATTGATGGAGGAGACTTGGTAAAACACTCTTCCCTCCCCTGCAAGATGACTCCCTCCAACACCAGTTTTAAATGTTCTTTTCCTTGAGATTTCCAGCTCACCCCAAGGGAGCCCGGTCACTTTTCTGTATGAGGATGCTTTTTCTTTGGTACTCCACCTGAGCAGCAGTCTTAGTTTTGTTCCTCCTGGAGAGCTTATAGCTCCTCCAGCTCCCATTACGATCTAGCTGCACTTAGCGGTGAGACACTTCAGCATTAAGCAAAATGGCACTGCATGCCCCTCCTTAGCTGTGGCTCCCCGGATGGATTTTGGCTGGTTTTCCCCCCACGTGCAGCCTGTTGATCAGTGCAGGTCTTCCTACCACGCCATGTGAAAGCCAGAATTCACTAACTGGTTTATTCAAGAGCTGAGGGCTACTAAATCCCAGCTCGTAGCTGTTTTGCATGAGCAATAGCAATAGTCCTGCCATAAGTACATCTGTAAATTAGAAAATGCCTTGAAAACAAGGGGTGACTGAGACATATGTGGGCTGTAGGGGTCCTGTCAGCGTCATGACTGTCCTTTTTCCCAGCTTACGTGGCTATTTTGGTCTTTTTCCTCCTGCTCAAGATCCCGCTGGTTCTGGACACGAAAGGTTTCATGCAACCGAAGAAGCCCATCGTCCTGAAGATGGTCCCCAGAGCCCACGCCGATCTGGAGAAGTGAAGGAAGCAGGAACCGATCAGAGACTCTTGCTTGATGGTGCCTCCTCCAACTCTTGAGAGGAGACCCAGATTGATGTGTGCGCTGTAGAAATGTCAGTGGTGCAACCCCCCCATTTCACAACAGGTCATTAGGGGTTTAGCCCAGCATAATTACATGAGCATTATCCTAATGAAAACTAGCCCCAGATCCCACTGTCCCCGATCACAATAGGCATTTTGCAAGACCATTTGCACTCAAGTTATTTGGGCAATTTTTTCTCTTCCTCTGAAGAGGCACTTTTCTAAGCAATTTGATTCCAGACACTGTCAGTCTCTTCTGGCAGTGTAATTTAAATCAAGATAGGGAGAGCAAATTGCACATAGTTAAGTAATGCTACCATTGCTCCTGTTCCTACTGCCTGCTGGGTGACTCTGTATGTCTTCTGGTTTTATTCTCCTGGGAATGCAGAGTTGTCTGGGGCTATTTCCTCAGCTGTGTGCTATGACCCTGAGAAGTGTTAAAATGGTTGCCTCCTTGTGGGAATGAACGCCTGCGGCAAATTTTCTGATGCTGATTTATTGAGATTTTTCTTATGATCTTAGGTGGCTTTTGCGTGATTCAGAGTCCAGATGCGTTAACTGGAGGAGCCCAGAGACAAGCAGTTACCCCTAATGACTGAGATTTGCAGAGTGGGAGAGAAGTGCCCCTCATGTGTTTCCTGATTGTTTGCATATTTTACCGCGGGCATGCAACCATCTCCAATAGAAGGGACTGTCAACACAGGCACCATCTATACTGCTATCATGACACCTTTTAGTCTCTGATTTATATTAGGCCATCATAAGGCCAACTTAACTGAATTAATAATGACGCAGGGTGCAGCACTGAGAGCCTTCAGATGTCCTGGAGAACCCTAGTCTGGAAGAAGGTGTTGCCTTTGGCTATTGAGAGCTGGACAGTCTTGCTAGGCTCTGTCATTTTTTAGACCCTAGAAGATCTGTACGCTCACATTTCATATAATTCCTCCAGAAACTGCTACTGGAGGGCTAACTGCAATAAAAAACTCACGTACCTCTTCTGTAACCAATTGATGCCAGTCTCTGCTTCTGCACTTGCCTCCATACAAAAGTGAATCCATCTGTAGGTCTCGTAAGCCATCAGCCAGAAAACTGTGTGGTCCCATCACCTCTTCCAGCTGGGCTTCCTCACTTCTTCGGTGGGATCCTCAACGGATCCTCAAAAATCAGCGCCACAGAGTGGAGACAGAAGTTCTCTTTCGCAATTCATCCTTTCGCTGTCACCCTGTAGCACCACAAATTACTGAGGATGTGGTCTTGCTAGTCTCAGCCAAGCATTTGTCTTTCTGTGAAAGTAGAGGGGTTTGATTCCAGCATCTGGTCCATGCTGCAGAGCAGCTGACCTCATGCAGGGTTCAAAGTGCTCTCCATGCTCTCTCCTAAACCTCTCATGCACCTGCTTTTTTTGTACGTTTCTACAGGAGGATGTCTTCTGCTTCCAAACTGTCACATTTCAGCACTGGGTGAAATACTTGCATGTGCATATACATCCAACCCAGCCACTAGCGTATATATAGGTGCTTGGATTCCTGGGCGCTGGAAACTCATTATATCCTGAATCAATCCCTAAGTGTGTCATCAGTAGTAAAAGCTGCTTCTGGAGATGTGGACTCTAAGACACAACAGTCCAAAATAAGTGGCTGAGCGGAGTCATTGATGGTGTGAAGTGGTTCTTATTGCAAAATTGGGCTTAGGAACTTTATTCACTACATAGAAGTGTTTATATTTCTTTTATATTCTTTTATATACAGATAGATATATTATACATATATTATTATATATTCTTTTTATGCTTTCTTTCTATACTTTTTAGGAATTGAGTAGAAAACCCCAAAAGAGCCATAATAACCTTTCTGCAGCAGATTAAATTCCCCAGCGAAAGACACCCTTGACTGGAAGCGTAGGAGAAGAGTAAGGCTGCTTCTCCAGAGAGTCACCAAAGAGCTGGGTGGGAGGGTCAGAAAATTCCCAGCAGCTCGGGCAGCCACAGCTTCCCCTTCTGCCTTCGTCACCTGCAGCAGCGCAGCTCCTTTCTGCCACCAATGTACCAAAGTGACAATTCATCTTCGTTTTCAGCTGTTACTGTCCCCTTTTTTAAAGCCATGGCACTGTGTTTGACTCTGATGGCACATCTCAGGGGAGAAAATGACAAAACAGAGAAGCAGTCAGACCCCTGGAGAACAAAGAGCTGAAAAGTGCCCGCACCGTCACAGCAGTTCATAAAAAGGGGCATGGAAAATCCTCAGGTCTCTGCCTTGAGAGGTGACCATGAAGATGAGGGTGACAAAGTCACACACAGTGTCACGGGTCAGGGATGAATTAATGACCTTGCTGGAGCGAAGGCTGTAGCTTGCCTGGTGGCAGCGAGGGAAGGGTTTTGCCTCCTCGCTCCGCGCCCGTGTTGGAATTAATCACTCACGTACAAATGTCAACACTACGGAAAACATCCGTCAGGATAATCTCTCTCACAAAGCTGCTTAACATTTTGGTAATATACAGTTCACTCGCAGGTGTCAAAGGATTTCAGCCTTTCTCATCTCTCTTCAAAGGCATCTTCATCTGATGGCACCCCGTGCCGATGAAGCGGGTGAGCAAGCTGCTGCGACCAGCAATGCCGATGTACCCGCGGAGACACCGACTGGTGAACACACAGCACTGTTTTATCTCCCGGCATCTGCACGGGATTCCGGCAAGGAACAAAACAATGCCGAGGGGTGCCAAATCTCAGCTTCATTTTGCTGAATTCAGTTGTGCTTAAGAGCAGAAAGTGCGCACCTTCGTCGGTTCCCAGTTGTCTTAGAGGGAGGTTTGCCATCAGGTTTTGGCTTCGTGGAGTGGCTGGGGGGGACCTTGCAGTGGGGAATCGCTCGGATGCAGTGAGTTTTCCAGCAGGCACAGCACATAGGACACTGTTTCTTGGCTTTATTCCAGACTGAGCAGCTATCTGGGGGTTGTTCTATGTGAACCCTTTCTGGTCCGATTTCCAGAGGTAATGAGCATGCACCGCTCCCCCAAAGGGAAATAAAGCTGTGCTCTTCAACAGCCATGTGCCTGTTTACATGCCCGTAAAATTGTTTTAAAAATTATTTACAGTTAGGCAATAGTGAAATTTGGCGTCCATCCACCTTATGCCATGCTTTGATTCAGATCACAGCAAGGTCACAGGGTGACCAAATGGGTTTCCTTTTGGATGACACTAAAGCACAAGTGCTTCAGGAGCTCATCTAACATACTCCAGCTGCTGACAGCTGGAAGCAAGTCCTCTACTCCCCCTAAAAAACATACAGGATGAATATAGGGCCCTCAGCATCAACTCCTTTGCTCTGCGTACCCCCCTCCTATAGCACAACACTGCTTCCTAAATGCAAACACAGCTTCAGCTTAGCAACAGCTCCTTCTGTAAGGGTAGTCCACCACCAAGTTGCATCATTCCAGCCTGGCCCCGTTGACTCATGCTTCAATTATTTAGGCTGGTTTCAAGCGAGAGCACCCACTTGCACTTAACATGGTGCTCGCTCATTGAAGTGGTATCGCTGCCAGGCTTAACATGCGCTCGAGTGCTTTGCTGGCTCTCGGTCTTCTCCCATCGCTGTGCAAGCTGGCAAGCGGGAGGTCTCAGGCCAGTCCCGGGTAGAGTGGTTGTGCCTGCCGCAATTTGCAAGACGCTTGGAGCTTTCCTGACCCTGACCCAGGCTTGCGTAGAGGTTGTCTGTATTATTGCTGCTGGTACTGGACTGGATCTGCTGTTGAAGAGAGGCAGGCCTCCAGACGCTCTTATTGAATGCTCCATTCGGTTAAAATCAATGGAATCATCAGCCCACAGAGTCTGCCCGAAGGTCAGGAAGCAGTGATTTTTTTTTCCTGCAGCAGGTTTGGTCCTGAGCTCTTGTTTTAGTGTGAGGATTGCAAGCAAAAGCATTTCAGCAGGTAGGTTATGAAAGTGTTGTGACTGCTAGTATTAAGCTGACAGGCTAATGTAACAAGTGCATAACGAGGTCTCCTAAAATAGAGACGTAAATTCTTTGCGGCACTGGTTTCTTGGACAACTCAAAAACGAGCTGGTGATGGACACGGCGCAGGCTGCCTGGTGTCCTGCAAGGCAAAATGCAGAAGAGCCTTGAAGAGGAACCCACCAGCATGGAGGAGGTGGAGGATACCAGGAGAAGGGAGTGCCGGACCACGGGCCAGGACCAGGTGGGGACAACCCCTTTTTCCCACCCCATCCCACCCCATGGTCCCAAATTTCTCCTCCCTCCCAGCCTGTCCCCATCCGTCTGTCTCACAGAGACACCTCTGTGGTTCCTCAGTCCCGTGTGTGCCAGCAGCAGTCATCTCCAGAGTCAAAGGACGCAACGGCAGAAGGACCTCGTCTTTACCCCTCTAATCACTCAGGCAAACGTACGCTATCAGCTGGACACACGACATACCATGGACTGAATTTGCAGAAACACTTTGAGCTTTCATTTTGAAGTCTGGTGATTCAATCCCCCACAGAGCTAAGGTAAGCGGCTGCGATGCTGCTTCGGTGAATTCAAGGCTTCAAGTCAAACAGCAGTCATTTAACCACGCTTTTAAAGTTCATATCATTTGAATGTCATATGTCAAACTGATGCTACTTCCAATGAAGGCCAATAGATGTTTATTCCCTTCGCAGCTGGCCGGCAGTCTGACATTCATTATTGAAGCCTTGCAACTGCCAGGGATTGAAGCTACCTGTAGGAGTGCGTCTATCAAAGCCTTCCACCTTTTAAGGGTTATTCCCTGTAATATCAGCTCATACATTTTAGTTCAGGCTCGTTTTACAGCTGCTATAGGTCTGCAGTTGTTTTTTCCTATGGCTGGGCAAGGTCAGGCATTGGTTTTTGCCCATTCCCTCCATAATTATGTCGTTACCTCATTTTTCATGGCTTCTCCTGGGTTCAGACTCGCTGTCACTGTGCACCA